CAAAGCATAATTTTTCTTGCCTTTAACCTTATTTGTTTATGGAGCCATAAACTAGAAAATGAGACTCACTTGCCATGCCCACTTATATCTTTTATTTTACAAATTGCCAATAGTTGTCTCAATAGAAAGCCAAGGTTTTAATATATCAAATAACGTATTATAATACATTGTTTTCAGTACAGAGAATTGTCTATTTTGCCTACAGTTCAAACTTTATTTCTATAGGAAACACATCGACAAGCTTAGCTGAATTATTAAAAGCTCTTGTAGCATATGTAGAAAGCCAGAAAAATTATGATAATTACAGGATATTGTCTGTTTTTGCAGACTGTTATTCTGTGTTGTTAGGTGCATTATTTAATTAAATAAAAAAATTATTTAGTGTAGTAATACCATTAGTATAGAAAAGTAGGGTTAATTGTTCATGATGACAAGAAACACACTTGAAGTAAAAATTTATAGCAGAAATGGCTGGTATAGGTATTAAAAACTTTAAAATATACTACAAGAAAACTATTTTGACCTTCTTAATGTAACTAAGTGTAACTAAAATTAATGTAACTGAAAATTCATATTTGAACTAAACAATAGCAGGAATAATTAATAAACAATAAACAAAATCATAGCAAAATAAAAGTAGAATTCACTATCTCACTCAATAGACACCTATTAAAGTGTAATTTAATGGAAAACAAAAATCACCAAGAAATGGTGAGTGAAACAACATTTTGGAGGATACATTCAATTTTATAACCCTCATTTGATGAAGAGTAATGTGTTTCTAAAAGAACACTGAAAATATGTAGACTAGTTGCCATTTCTATTTACAGTTATGGTAATTTTATATAATATGTTTTATAAAAAGAAAAGTGTGAATGTAAGTAAAAATAATAAGATAGAGTTAAAAATTAAAAAAATGTATTATTTTGTGAGTACATAAAAAGTATTATTTTTTCAGAGTTATAAGAAGTGTAATTATGAGTTATTTGTTATTTTTTAGACCATCTCCTAAGCTGGTTATGATCATCCTGAAATTGTGTCACATTGCCCTCCCTCTCATGAGTGCAGAAGAGTGTACAAAGTTACTTTCTCTCCCATCTTGGTTTGTGGCAGATTGTGATAAACTTTCACCAGATGTCACCGACACTCCAAGTAGAGTTGCTAGCCTCTTTTTGGCACGTCTTGGAGACTATATTATTCCAGGTACATGTGCCATAAAAATATACAGATGTTTCATAATTTCACTGTTCAAAACAGCTATTTTTTGTTTTTTAAATATGTTTGTTCATTAGGTTCTCATGAGTTTTAACATGGTATTTGGAGCTGTTCATTATTTAGAAGCTCATGATCTGTATTTTGGATGCATGGAGGTATGTATTTGTTGGAAGGATAGGCTGTGACTTGTGTGTCTAGAGTTATGTATTACTTGAAAACTAATGGTCTGTATTTTGGGTATATGGAAGTGTGTATTAGTTTGAAACTGATGGATTGTGACTGATTTTATGTGACTGTGTATTGATTAGATGGTAATAACCTGATATTCAGGCCACCTTAACTTAGGCTCAGTTTAAGTGCTGATAACGTGTGATATCTGGATTATGGAATTCCATGCTGATTTACTGGGTATGATGGGTCATGACATGGTATCTGGAGCCATGTACTAGTTGGAAATGTTGGGGTGTGATGTGGTATTTGGAGCTGTGTACTATTTGGGTATTTTAGGGTGTGACATGATATCTAAAGCTATGTACTAATTGGGTATAAAGGGTTGTGACATGATATATGGAGCTAAATACCAGTTGGGTGTGATTAGTGAGTTTCCCTACTTTGCAATTTTAATCATTTAACATCACAGCATAAAACATCTTCAGTATTACAACTATAAACTCATTGAAACCAAACATTAGTTTATTGTTTCCAAAACATTTCTCATCAGAACACAACAAAATAAGCCACGTTTGGTTTTTATCACTACTAAGGAACTCTTGCTATTCAGGCCATTTTTAATATAAAACATACCAAACAGGTTATCCTCACTAACAGATCTTTATAACTTGAAAAACTAAAAGTTTTTAGTACTTGACTTTACTGCAACTTCCCATTCACACAAGAAATTTTCAAGCATACCTGCATGAGGATCTCACATAATCCATCATCACCCAACCAGTGATTGAAATATCTAGGATCACAGATTATTAATATGTAACCAAAACACAGTAGCAAGCTACAATCCATACAACTGGTACACAGCTCCAGATACAATATCACAACCCGGACTAACAAATGTGACTTGGTTTTTCAACCACAGCTGTCTTAATTATTCCATTATGGGTGAACATAATTAGTATTTAATTTCTTTCTTCCAAGACAATAACTCACCTCCAAACATAGTTTAGCTTTCTTCCTATTGCATTTGCTAGGGAAATTTGCATGCCACTAGCCTTGATGCACTGCTTGATGATGTCATCATGCGACAAAAGCCCTCCATCAATAGAGTGAAACAGCTCCATATGCATAACTCCTCCAATGCACTTGCACTCATGGTAACTTCATTTTTTTCCTTAGCATTGTATTGGACAGATGTGTTTAAATTTCTCTTCTGAGTTCAGTTTATTGAGATTTGCATCATTAATGAAACTTTTGGGTGTTTTCTTCCTCTCTTGTCTCAATCAAGTTTATTCTTCTCCTTTACTGCAAGCAATAGCATATCTGGTCACCAGGTTTTACATTCCTCATTCTCTTCCTGCGTGAGAGGTTCTTTCACTTTTGGGGACTCTAGTTTCTCTGGAATCACTCATTCCTTTGGGGCATGCACTAAAATGTCTCCTACTGTAGATCTTGCAGACCCAGGTTTTTTTTTGTCCTCATTTGTGAGCTTTTCCTTGAAGGATTTTCATAGTGACTGGACCATGCCCATACTCCTTCCAGTGTTCCCTTTGCACCTCTAAAAAATGGATCTCTCCATTCTTTGACATTTCCCACTCTGATTGAGGTACATTTCTACATGAACACTGGACAAGTGTCCAAACTACATCAACATGCTTGACTTTCTCGCTATTCATCAGGCATGTTTTCATTCTTACCCTTTGGTCATGTTCCACTCAGTCTATTTCACAGTCATTTCTTCCTTAAAAGTTATGTACGTATTTTCATTTGTTAATTTTAAACATTTCTTTGCACTGCATGTTGATGATAATAGCTAGAGTTAGTGATATAGTAGAGGAAATAGAAAATAAAATATAAACATTTACCTTACAAACACTTTTGATATTCATTTAGGAGATTCTAGAGATTATGCAAATGAAATGTGAATACTGTGAGATAATAAATAATATTTTTATACTCAAAATAAAAATCACCTGCAACATTAAATAACGAATTTTTTATTAGAAACAGTAGAAAAGAATTAAATATTTAATTTTTCTGAAACTACTTCCTTTTAGGAAATTTTTTTTTAAAAATGTTAAACAACTTCATCCACTAATTTTATTTTTGAAACAAAATATGACGAGTGATGTTACCTACTAATAATATTAATGGCTGTGAGTCGTAGGGTTAATCATCTTGCCTGTCATCTGCCAGGAGCTTACATCTTGGTGTCAGGCCACTTCTCTAGGTAAGTCCACTTTCAGTCAACAGAGTGGTCTGTTCACTCCCCGGACTTTCATGGAGTTTGCTCTTGGTTGGTCATGCACCTCATGAATGCAGTTGTTGCCTTTCTCAACTTTAGGCTTTTTCTCTTCTGGTCCCCTCATCCTTTGACTCTGGCTGTCGATGTTCTCAGCCATGCCTGATCTCACCTCTTTCGATATGACTGTTTTGCTATTAGTTTTCTCCCTCTGGTTCTCAACTTTACATACTCCTCTCCCTCTTGGGCCTCTTTGACCAACTCAGCTTTGGTCCACTTTGCATTCCAACCCTTTTTTCTCTTCCAGATATTTCCTTTCTCTTTTGCTTCACCCTCACACATCTCTTCTTCATTGAGAGATGTTTTTCCTTCATCCTCATGCATGGAATTTACCTGACTTGCTTTCAATTGGACTGGACTTTCAGAATGTGTGGCATTTTTATTGTCACATTCTAGTCACCCTTCCACTCTTTTTGTCTATCACCAACTTTGGCAGGTGTTTTGTCATTGGCCCGTCTGCCACTCCTTTCTTTCTGGCTGTCATACCGTGAACTACCTTTCTGCCTTTTCTACCTGATGCAAATGGCTTGTCAGTCTACCTTTCTAGTTGTCAAGAGGTCTTATCCATGGTATTTTGCCTTTCCCAGTACTTCCCCTTTCCTCTTTACTTCCTCACCCAACTCCTAAGCCTGACTGAGACCTTAATCAGGTTTTGCATGAACTTGTGCATACCCCATTCAAACTGTTGACTTCTTGCCTTTTGTACTGTCTTTCTCTCCTGACATGTTTGCTCCTTATTCTTGCCTACAAATTACCATTGTCCCGACATCTTTCCTTTAGATGCTTCTCACCCTCTCTTCCACTGTACTTATATACTCCTCTCGCTGGACTGATCTTTCCTTCATCAGACTTTGACAACTCAGGAGGGTCACCGTACTTCTCTCCAGTCTTCCTTCCTTCTGTCTCTTGCCTATTGGACCATATGGATCCAGATCAGCCCTTGTGCTCTGTTTAGGCTGTTCATTGTGCCTTATCATTGACCTCTCTCTCTGGGTCTTCACCTTTGCATGCCTCTACCCTTGCACCTCTCCTTTTCTAAGGTCCTATCTCCTTCTACTCTTACTGAATGGATATATTGATTCCTTCAGTTGGTATATTTGTCTTGAGATGTGGAAGCTTGCAGACTATTTCATATTTCTTTGTCAACTTTTACATTCTCTTAAATTTCTTCTTTAGCTACCCTGTGATGAGCTCCTCCAGGCACGCATGTGGACACCCTCCACACATTTGTCTCCTTCTTTAATCTTTCTGGCTTTTTTAACTCCTGATGGTTTGCATCTTTTGCTGGTTGCATTCTTCAATCTCCCTGCTGTTTTTGAAAATAATACTTACTATTTTTCTTTGAGAGATTATTTTTTATTTGATAGGAACCCACCAGGTGGCTGGCACTACCCCCAGGGTATACTTACCCAAAATTCACATTGAGCTAGGATAATGGAAAGAGCTTATACCATCTGTCCTTGCTTTACCAGTGCCCACTGTGAGATGAGGTGTTCTGCAAGACATCTTGAGATATATGTATTTATTTAATCATCTGATCCACACTGTATCTCTTCCATGGACTGTCATGGAAAAAGGCAGCACCAGAGAAGTCTTCAGCCAACTTCTTTGGCTTGTGCTTGCTACCTTTAAAATAGGGTTTTGCGGTCACCCATTACACTGTCTCCAGTAAAAGATCTTTCAGGCTGAAAGTCCGAAGGGGATTCAGGCTCTACTTTGGGTCTCCCCAATACAAATTCTCCTCTCTTTCTCAAGGGGAGCACAGGAGACTCTTGCTGCTTACCAGTTTCTAGCCACTGGAGTGATGGTCTGTGGAGAATCCTAACTGGTTGAACTCAACTGCTAGGGCTTTATATATAGAGGTTGCAATATGAAGAGAAGTAGGGCAGTGGAGACATTGTCAGTGTAATGCAGGTCATCCCTCTTATACATAACTCATGCCACTTGTGCCCTCTTCCTGCAGCTTGAGACTGTTCAGTAGCGTTGAGGTGAGCATGCACTATACAAATCCAAACTGTATGTCAATAGTGCCCTCCTCCAGCAACTGGAGTACATCTCATAGAGTCTGAAAGTAGAGTTGTGGTGAGCACACACTATGCAAAGGCATATTATATTACTAACATGCCCTCTTTCTGCAGCTGGAGTTTGTTCTGGAGTTTGATGACAGAGTTGAGGTGTGCACACATACTCTGTGAACTCGTTTTATGTAACTGATGTGCCCTCTTCCTGCAGCAGAAGTCTGTTTCGTAGAATCTGATGGTAGAGTTGAGGTGAGCACACGTTCTGGTCTGAATGCATCTAAACCATACTACACATATTGATTATCTGATAGCTTGTGTGCAAGTACTTGGACAGTCATGCTCTCATTCTGCTCAGCTTGTTTGCCTCTTTTCCCTTTTCTTTCTAGGTGAAGAGTATATCCTGGCTGAGATTAGATGTGGTCTCCCACAGGTGTGCCCCTATGGAGCCTGTGCCATCAAGGTCACACTTCGTGACTTTCATCGGACACTTTCCAAAAGGAACTCATCTAGTTAAAACTTGTACTGGCCCCTTCACCACTTCAATATGGGGTTTTAACTAAATGTGTATAGAGGTGAATTATCATCTTGGAAGTCAACATATTTCTTACCTGAAAATGTATTTCCAGTTGATACTCACCTCTGCACCTATACCCTCCACTTCTGGTGCACCTTTATTTTTCTTGCCTCTTCAAAGAATGAAGTTACCATGAGTGCAAGTGCATAGGGGGTGTTACTGTGAATGGAGGTGTGTTACCCTATTATTGGTGGAGGGCTTTTGTCACATGACGACATCATCATGTAGAAGTGCAATTCTTGTTGAATCACATGAAATTAGATGGGAGTTACCTTAAGGCTAGTTGCATGGAAATCTGGCAGACATCTGAGAAAGATAGCTAAACTGTGTATGGAGGTGAGTATCTATCAGAAATACATTTTGAGGTAAAGAAAAATTTTAATTTTTTTGCTGTCAAAGGCATAGAAAACGGGTTGTTGTGATATAACATTTTTACACTGAAATTTGTAATGGACTTATAAAGAGAAATATTTTCATCTTTGATTACACTGCTTTTGTTTGTTGAGCATTTAACATTTTACTATAGTGTTTTCATATGAATGTGTTGGAGAAATGTTCATACCGAAACAGATGGTATATAATGTTGAATAATTGTTTTTAAGAAGGTTTTAATCTCCAGGGGATAACTGTAAAATACTGCTGATTTTTGAGAAAACTGAACTATACTGAAATTCCCTTATGGTTTGCTCATAACTTCAGGCTGTCAGCTGTTATCCAGACAAGAGTCACAGGAAAAACTTTCCAGTAACGTTTTTTTGGTAAGTGTTAAAGATAATGGTTCTCAAGACAGGGACAGAGGACTAGAGGACAGTGACATACAGGATGGAAAGCTCTCTGTGTTTTTACATAAGCGAGAAGACCAGTCATCACATGAAGTGATACAACCACTATTGAGGTAAGATTGAAATCAAGCAGCTTACTATGGTGGACAAAAAATATTAAAAAAAAAGAAATAGTTTTTATAGCATTAAAAATGTTGATTAATTCTCTCTCTCTATGGACTCAGTCGAATTGGCCGAGTTTGTTACCCCAAATTGACATTTATAGTTTCCATGCTATAACTTCTAATATGTTTTGTGTATTTTCATGAAATTTCACAAATTTTCAGTAATTATTAAGAGTCATTTTAGACAAAAAGTGAGAATTTTTAATGAAGTATTTTTACTAAAAATTTCTCCATAATTATATGGATTCAAAGTGTTGACTGCTTTGATTGCAAGATGATTTTATTCTTAACCTTTATCCTACCAGCTTATTTTATAAATGAATCCTACCAACTGGGGTCCATTCAGACCCCAAGCAAAAAATTTTGCTCTGAAGGAATAAACATCAATAACATAAAATATTTCATTTGGAATATATTTTATTGATTGAATACAAATTAAAATATCATGGTACTGCAAAGAATAATCAAGTTTTACAATTACACACATCAAAGATATGTTAATATATTTTTCAGAATTCAGATTATTTCAAATAATTTGGCAAATTTCATAGACATGATCTAAATTTGAACACTTTTGCGTGATTGAATATTGCCACACGAATTCCCAGTCAAATTCTTTTCAATGTCCATCGAATAGCTCTGTTTTTTCTGAGATCGTATACCACAGATGTATCTGTAAACACTTGTCACAAACTACCTGTTGGGTGTTGTGAGTGGGATATACAGGCTTGTTACAAGAACTACACGTCAGTCTGACTTTTATCAACTTGACAAAGACAAAGACTGTATCTCTTTCTCTTACCATCACCTACTACTCTATCAGTATGCATGGATGAATTGTGTCAATGCCAACTAACTGTATTGCCATTCAGATTGGGACTTGAGTGTGGGTGTCCTTGCTCTCCACTGGATTTGTGGCATGATAAGTTTGTATGCAAGTTCCAACAGAAAGAGTTGTCACCTTCGTCTTCCCTCAGATGACTTCCACTGTGGAAAGTTTGCCAACCAGATGATGAAAGTTGCCACAGCATCAACATAATACAATTTCTAAACAACAGAGCAGGCCAGCAGTTCACTTTCTCCTAGAAGTGAACAAAGTTGCCAGATGGTCCAAGTTGTCCACACCACACTTAGTTGCATTGTAGTGGAGTATGATCTCTGGTTTGCGAGCATCACCCACTACAGTACCATCATGGTGCATAGTGAATAAAGCCACCACAGACTTATTCTGCTTTGGTACATAAGACACCAGGGTAACTTGGTTTTTGAATCCAAACAACAAGCTATGGACTTCTGTGTTGTTGTTAGCTCTCATTGTGTCAGTTATGTCTGGTTTGTTGGATCGGATTGTGCCTGTTTAGGTCAAGCCATCATTCAGTAGATCTTCTGATAGTGAGACAGAAGTGAAGAAGTTATCTGCTGTGACATTCTGTCCAGTTCCACGCGATAGTGCTACCAGCTTCTTCACGATATGAGCTCCCTGTTCACCAGGCTGCCTTCCCAAGTATACTTCACCTTTCAATGGGTAACTTGACTCAGCATCACAGTACTACGAGATTTTGATGCTATTCTTTGCTGGCTTAGATGGGATATACTGGCAAAAACTACATTTTCCCCTGAATGCCACTAACTGTTCATAAACAGATAGGTTGGTTCAAGGAATGTAGAATTTGGGAATATATGCCAGAAAAAGAATCCAAAAAATCACTAGAAGGGAGCAAGTTTGTCAGTTGCTTGTCTTTCTGGCCACCCAATTGTCAAATCTGAGAAATTTCAGAAAATCAGTAAATCAGGTTCTAGACATTGTTGCAGTGAAGATGGGTCTTCCTTCATTCTCTGACCACAGTGATGCAACTGGCTCATGATTGGATTTGTGCAGACCTGCAAACAGACAAAGTCCAATGAAAGCCTTCATTTCAGTAGAGTCCACAGCTGTCCAAGCTCAGGGATGTTCAGGATTGGCATCATTCCATTCTCGGATCCAGCGTCGGGCCTCTTGGTTAGTTTTTACAACAACAAGGTCAATCATGGCAGATGTAAACAACAAGTCAAAGGACCACCTCAACTGAATCACACTGAGCAGCATGAATTATGCCAGGTTGTTATATGATGATATCTTGTACATGATGTGTGCCAACATTTGATGTGTTCTTTTGCCACACAGTGCCATTTTGTCCAATGAAAACATCATGGATAGGATCTGGACCAACAGCTGGTGCTGAATCTGATCCATTCAGCTGTGATTGGGCTGCAGGACCCCAACCTCATCCTTACCCTCTGGGCTGGCCACCAGGTTGTCCTCTGCCTCTGACTGTGTCAAGGTTAGGCTTGTGAAGTGCATCTGGCTGGTCCCTACCATCATGGTCACTAGAAGCTGGTTCTACAGTTTCTGTGTCACTGTAGTTCGACAGTTCCAAGATATGGTCATGGTCTGCGCCTGAGATGTCAGAATCTTCCAGGTGAGAGCCTTCTTCTGATTCTAGGATAACCCTAAGGGCTTGTGCAGCAGTGTATATCATAATTCTACCTCTGCCTGCCATATTTCACTGCAATACAAATAAGAACAAGACATAATGTGAATGGCAAATCAAAAATATCATCTGGGGTCTGGTCAGACCCCAGTCAGTAGGATAAAGGTTAAGATTATAAGTACTTTGTTTCATGTGAAAATTCTAAAGTTGTATTTGCATAATCTCTAAAAAAAATTTTTTTTGGAAAACATTATGTTTTATCTGTTATTTTTCCTACCCTAACTCTATACAAAGTTAGTTAGTTTGACCAAAAAAAAAAGAAAAGAAATCTGAATTATCTTGTAACATGCACAGAAAAAGATGCCCATAGTGAAAGTGTTAAACCATGAACTTGTTTCTTTTTGCTGCTTTCAAAACAAAATGTACTTATTATGGTAATTATAACATAGCTAATCAAGAGTGATAACCATGGTTTAGAATATCAAAGTGAAGGCATTGTTAAAATTTAGTAATTCAGAAATATATGAATTTGTACGTATATAACCATGAAATTGTATATATATAGACAAATATGTACATTTTACATTCAACCCTGAATTGCACATTATAATGTATGGATAACAAATCTATATTGCTTGACACAAATACTTCATTTCTGCAGTTGAATACTCTTAATTCCAGTTAATCTGTCTAAATAAACCATGGAATTATTTTTGTTGGTTCTTCAATTGAACAATGTTGCTCTTAGGCAACTCACCCATTTACAACTTATCTAAATATATTTCAAAAAACGATTTTTATGCAATATAGGCTTATTTAAATAAGAAATTCAAAGAAACCATTTTTTCCCACTATATTTTCATGATGCATGCAATAGAGGGTTAGATTACAAACTTAAAGAATGACTGGTTTATGATGGTGGTTAGTAAGGTTTAGGTCTAACCTAATTACTAAGTTTATGGTTGAAAAGGTCAACAACAACAAAGGCTTTAATTGATGATATAATGCTATTTAATTATTTTTCGACTGATATGGTATGCGACTTCTTCTCACATCAAGCTTTCCCAGTTCTGTGCTATTTTCGTCTATTTGCAAACTTTTTTGCTCTCCACTAGCCCTAAGGCTCCCACCTAAACTCATGTGATATTGCTGTGTTCACCTTCATAGTGCAGCAGATTCACTCTATACTGATTGTTCAATCATAACTTCTCCATTTCTCGCTCATGAGATTTTGTGATATTGGCATTTGTCGTGGAAGTATCTACAAGGTCACCAATTGTTGTGTAAATATTAAATTTCTATTTTAGTTTTTAAACATTTGTGCATCTGCAGATTTTGTGGTCTTTTATTTCCACATTATAAAGTCACAAGTGATGGTAACTTCCATTTTTTCTGGTGTGGGACAAAAGGACGTTGTTCATGCTAGACAAACAATTAAATTGGTATTGAGTTCTTCTTTGACTGATGAGGAAGTGACAGCTATTTTGTAACAAGAGTAGGGGTCAGAGGGCATGTCATAATGTAATGAGCAGCACCCTGGTGGGCTTAA